CCCCCCGCAGGAGGGGCTCCAAAGCCATCCCAGGGTGCTCTGAGGAGGAAAGACCCAGCCTGTGCCGGGAAGGCGGCCGGAGCTTGAGCCAGAGCTCTGACCTGGTGGTCCCTGAGCAGCCTCCCAGCAGGGATAAGCCCTTCAGGTGCTTGGAATGTGGGAGGATCTTCAGCCACAGCACCACCCTGCTCAGACACCAGCACATCCACACTGGGGCACGGCCCTACACGTGTGTGGAATGCGGGAAGAGCTTCAGACAGAGCTCCAACCTCCGCATCCACCAGCATATCCACACTGGGGAACGACCCTACACGTGTGGGGAATGTGGGAAGAGCTTCAGTGACAGCTCTACCCTCCACACCCACCAGCGCATCCATACCGGGGAACGACCCTACACGTGTTGGGAATGTGGGAAGAGCTTCACTGACAACTCCACTCTCCACTCCCACCGTCGCATCCACACTGGGGAACGGCCCTACAAGTGCTTGGAATGTGAGAAGAGCTTCAGGAAGAGCTCCCACCTCCTCAGCCACCAGCACATCCACACTGGGGAACGTCCATACATATGTGAGGAATGTGGGAAGTGCTTCAGACAGAGCTCCCACCTGATTGGACACCAGCGCATCCACACCAGGCAACAGCCCAAGAAAGGGATGGAAGAGGTGGGCTAAGGGGATGCGGGAGAGCAGGAGTGGGGTTGCCATGGCGGTCCCTCTGTGTCCCCATGCCTTGATCCCTGCAGAGTGGGGGAGGCTGGAGAGAGGAGGGAGCTGCGAGAGTGCCGAGAGCCTGGAGAGGGGGGAGCTCGGGCCCCCTGTGCCGAGCCAGCGTTCGGGGCTGTGCTGTTGGTGCCAAATTGTCCCTGGTCAGGCTGAACCCAGAGCCCACCCACGTGTCAGGGGGCCCGATCCGCTCCCTGCTCTCGTTGCCCTGGGGCCGCCTCTGGTGTCCCCCTGCCTGTGGGGCTGTTTGGTTGCCTTGGGCACAGCCAGCCCTTGTGCAGGGCTGTGCCCTTGGGGGCTCTTGGGGGTGGGTAGGAGGTGTTTTTTGGGGATGCTGGGCTGGGTTGGTGGCAGAGCCCTGGCAGTGGGCGGGGGGAGGTGGGTCCCCCCCACGGTGGGGGTTGGTGTTGCTGGGTCAGGCCCCACTGGCTCCATGGTCAACCTGGTGCCGGCAGGGGGGAAACAACAGTTTTGGGGCCACTCCGGGAGTGCTGGGAATGGGTGTGGAGCCCGGGAGCTGCTTAGTGTGGAGGGCGGAGCGGGGCAATGCCGGAGCTGGGGGACCCCCGCAGCCTGGAGGGGGGAGCATGGAGAGGGAGGAGCCCCAGGACCCTTGGGAACCTGAAAGGGGCGGTGGAAAAGAGGAAGCCTGGACAGTGGGGACTCCTGGGATCACTGGAACAACAAAGCAGAGAACCTGGAGAGGGGCAATGTCTGGGAATGTGGCACCCCGAGGGTAAGAGTCAGAGGAGAAGGAACCCTTAGGACCCCAAACACTCTCAGTATTCCTAAGTGGGACCCCCAACATCCCAGACATGGGAGACCCTCCAAGCCCCACAGAGGAGAGACCAGAGAGGGGGAATTCCTGTGAGAGTTTTTTGGGCTGAATGTTCATAGTTTGGAGTATTTTTTGGCTGAACTTAACTTTTTGCAATTTGGAGGGAGTTCATCTTGCTATTTCTGAGGGTTTTTTTGCCTGAATCTTCGTGATTTGGGTTTTTCTGGGCTGAATCTTGGTGTGTTGGAACTTTTTATGGACACAGGATGCCCAGTGAGCTCTAGAGATGGACTTGGGCAGGAGGAACCCCCAAGCAAATGCACTCAGCCCTTGTTTTCCCCCATCAGGATTTGTCCTTCCCAAAGCTTGGGCGGATGGAGGAGGAGGCTGCGAGGAAGAGGAAGATGCCTTGGGCCCCCCAGGCAGGTGAGGAGGAAGTCAGTGGCCCTTTGGGCGGGTGTTGTGCTGGCTCTGTCAGCCGAGCATGGCCCCGGCTGCAGGACAACCCCGCTGCCGCCGCCGTCCTGCCGGGGCCGGAGTTGGGGGGATGTCCTTGGCCTTCCCTGTGGGCCGGAGGCAAATCCCCTCCCTGTC